TTTAGATTACGCTTATTTTACCAGAATAAAAGATGATCACGCCTTGAGTTTTAATTAGAACAGTAAGGTCTGACTGGAATGACAAAGAAAGTGCGCTTGCAGGACTCCCAGAGTTCATTAATATAATTTGGATTCATCTTCAATGCCTCCTCCTTCATCTTACCCCAGACATACTCAATAATGTTAATCCTGGTGACTGGGCTGGCCAATCCTGGAGCATCTTGACCTTCTTTGTTTTCAGGAACTTTGATATGGAGGCTAAAATATGAGAAGGAGCACTATTCTGCTGAAGAATTAGCCCTCTCCTGTGGTTTGTAATGTAATGGGCAGCACAAATGTCTAGATACCTCAGGGTGTTGTTGTTGCCCATCCTCCCTGTAGATCTCTCGCATGCCAACATAGTCATTGTAACCCCAAACCATGATTTTTCCTTCACTAAACTTGACTGATTTCTGTGAGAATCTTGGGTCCATGTAGGTTCCAGTTGGTCTTTTGCAGTATTTGTGGTTTTAGGGATGCAGTTAAACAGATGATTCATCAGAAAAAAGCTACCTTCTGCCACTTTTCCAAATGATCAACTTGAAGTCAAGTTATCATTTGTTTCTCTTACAACTGGGATCGACAACAAGACTTTATTTGGTAGTGTCGTAGGGGATTTCAGATGCAGCCAATGTTTTAACATTTTTATTTTTATTTATTTATTTTTATTTATTTATTTATTTATTTATTTTTTATTTATTTTTTACTCAAGATCAAACTAGAACTTAACCAATATTGGGTAACCTCCTCTGACCTGTAACCCCCTTGGGAGAAATTAAAAGAAACTGAAAACTGTATAAAATTCACTGTTAGTGATAAACAGAATGATCTATGAAACAATATGTTATGGTATATGATCATATAGTAGATGCAGTGGCGCAGTAGGTAGTGCTGTCGCCTCACAGCAAGAAGGTCGCTGGTTTGAGCCTCGGCTGGGTCAGTTGGCGTTTCTGTGTGGAGTTTGCATGTTCTCCCTGCATTTGCGTGTGCTGGATAAGTTGATGGTTAATTGCGCTGTGGCGACCCCAGATTAATAAAGGGACTAAACCGAAAAGAAAATAAATGAATGAATGAATATATGATAAAATAAGTGTAATGAAAATAACTTAATTATAAATGAAATGTATGAAAGATAAACAAAAAAGAAAATAATACTAAGGAAAAGCAAGAGTAAATAAATAAGTTATAATAAAATAATATTCAGGGAGAGTACTTAGCAGTATAAAATTCTGACAATATAAAAACCTTGGAAACAATTATCACTGTGTTACGGTATCATGGTACTATGTTTACCGCTGTAAAATCATTTCTTTTTAAATAGCTTAGTGAAATAAACAAATTTTTTTCCCATTTAACACAATATTTTACATTTTAGAAAACATTTATAATATTATGGAGCAATAAACATGTCAGGCTACATAGTTAAAATAAACTATTGACTTCTACTACCTTCATTAGCCTCAAAAACACAGGTTTCCTTACAACAGTTAAAAAAAAATACCTGTTACATATTCCTTAGAAATAGTTTAACAAAACATTTTTTTGCGGTTTTAATACCTTGACTTTTCTAAACTGTAAACCTTAAAACCAGTTATCGTCTCATGCCTATTCGCACAACAAATAGAACAGTACACCACAAGGACACATTTATAGTTTTTTTTTTTAAAGAGCTCCTATGCTATTTAAAGGTCACTAGTTTTGTTATTGTAGGTCTGCTCTAACCGAGGCTCAAAAACACTTCTTTTTCACATTGTTCGAAACATTCATTCAATGATTTATTCTTTGTATATCCATCATTTCCGAGAGCTTACTCTGCTCTGATTAGTGCAACACATTAGCCTGATGGTTCAGAACATTTGCTTTTGGAGTGAGGAAAACAAAATGCAACACAAGTTTTCAGGCGTCAGCCACAATGTTTGAGGGTCAAAACAGATTCTTTTTGAAGGTAATGTATTTCTTTTTGATGTTATTTGGCATTATTCAAATTAGTTTCAAACCTATTTGGATTTGTGCTGGAAGTAAAACTGGACTTAGTGATGACTTGTTTCAGGCAGTTCAGAATTTTTTTATTTTTTTATTTTAAAAGACAGTAACTGTATTTATCATTCCGATCTGTAATTATTGCAGAATTTTTACATTTACAAACACATTACATATTACATGAAAGTTAATCTTCAAAAAAGTCCCAAAACAAAATATAACATACACTATATTAGGTACACCTTGCTAGTATCAGGTTGGACCCCATTTTGCTGTCAGAACTGCCTTAATCCTTTGTGGCGTAGACTCAACAAGGTACTGGAAATATTCCTCAGAAATTTTGGTCCATATTGGCATGATAGCATCAAGCAGTTGCTGCAGATTTATCAGCTCCACATTCCATGATGCGAATATCCCGTTCCACCACATCCCAAAGGTGCTCTATTGGATTGAGTTCTGGTGACTGTGGAGGCCATTTGTTCACAGTGAACTCATTGTCATGTTTAAGAAACCACCTGAGATGGTCTGAGATGATTTACGCTTAATGACATGTCAGAAAATACCAAAAAATCTAAAAACTAAATCGAATTATTAAAAATTAATTTAACAAGATCTAATTTTTAAAAAGTTTTACGTGTTCTTTTTGCCGCATGTACTATTTTTTTATTTTTTTTTTTGGCAAACCGGACCATTAGAAATAATTATTAGTTTTTAGCCCTGTATAAGTCTAAAATTTCATTTATAATAGTCTTAAAAAGGTTAAAGTCTTAAACTTCACATGATGAAATCTGCAGAAACCCTGTGCTATTAGTGTTTTACAAAACTTACAAATTTCAAATCAATCAAATCAAGTCACTTTTGTTGTCACATCATCAGCACGTGTGTATAGCTTAGGTGCTGGCTCCAGACAGTACAAAATAAAGAAAGTGCAAATATAACGACAGTGCAAAATACAGACTGTGCAAATACAACGACAGTGCAAAATACAGACAGTGCAAATACAAAGACAATGTGAAATTGACAGCGATATGTACAATGAATAGATGTCCACATAGTTGTAGGCAGTATTGTTTCAAGTATACAGATTGGTTAAAGTCCAGTGGTGATGGTGTGCAGTGAGGGGTATGGAAGAGTCTGTGTGGGGTGTGTTAAGTGTTCATCAGCCTGATAGTCTTAGGGAAGAAACTTTCCTTCAGCTGGCTGGTGAGTGACCGGATGCTGCGGAACCATCTGTCTAAGGGTAGGAAAAAGTTTATGGCTTGGGTGGCTGGAGTCACTGATAATTCTCTTGGCTTTCTTCATGCACCGCCTGGTGAAGATGTCCTCGAGGGAGGGAAGCTCACCTCCTACTACGCTTCCAGCAGTTCGCACAATACTATGTTGGCCTTTGCAATTGCTGCTGGTGCTGTTTCCACACCAAATGTTGATACAGCCAGACAGGATGCTCTTCACAGTGCAGGTGTAGAATTTAATTTATGGAAAGCACAATGATTTTGTACACTACAGTTGAATTTTCTGAATCTTGAAGCTGTCAAAAATGAAAAGGTCCTTGTTTTAAATTACTTAAGCACATCTGTGGCCATAGGAGTTGGCTAAGGGAGATCCTTACACTGTTGTTGATCAATTGCAGTTGAAACTGATTACCCATTGAGATTCTTTGCATTATCCAGTCTTTTGTGGGCCACCAGCCTTTTTGGGGGACTTGAAAGAGTTTGTGATATTGTAAAGATGCAACATTCTACAAATCCCATATCTGAGCAACTACTTGTTATGGAAAAGCTCCCCATATTGCAAAGTTAGTGAGAACTGGAATATATTGGCTACCATTGTTTATGGTTTATCAAATAATTAAATAACGTACCAACAACCAGATAAATAGCAGCTCTGAGAAAATTGCTGGGTTTATTTATTTATTTATTTATTTTGTTTTTAACTCAGACCTGCACATTTTATGGCCACTGGGAAACTTGCGGCCAGGTGAACTAAATGTTTTCACTTAATTTAAATTCAACCACGAACAGGGCCTTGCAATGAGCAGGTCTGATATTGCGACAAATAGGGGCCTTTTACATATATCATTATTTTGCATACTCAGTTTTGTTATTTCAAATGGAAGCACAAAGGTTCAGCATGCAAATAGGAAGGGATGTACATGCAGTATGTCATGCTAACATTTTCCAGGTACCACGAGTTGAAAAAACCTAAACATTTCAGAGTGCCGCGAGCGAACCGCGGGTCATGCAACTAGAACCAACAAGGCAGCTTTACATTTTTTTATAGAATTACAAAGTAATAAAGGCAGACTAATTACCTCATATTAACGATTTAACAAACGCAGATACAGATTATCTCTCAGTGATGATCGTTACATAACATATCCACCTCACATTCAACCTGACTTCAGTGCACTTGTTCAGCTTATCACAGGCTACATTTCTCTAAATGAACATAAAAACAATTATAAATGAATGAGTGAATGAATGAATGAATGAACGAAAGAGCGAACAACTAAACAAACAAACAAATAAATAAATAAATATTAACTAAGGTGAAGCAATCAAACAAACAACCCCATGGCGTTCATATGAAGTTAATAAACAAATAAAATTTGTAAAATGTATCCTTTTTCAAACATTAATGAACTTTTGAAAAGTTTTTATGAATGTTTATTTAATAGTTTCACAGAATTGAACTGAATTGGTCTGGCTTTTTAAAACGGCCCCAGAGTCTAAACTGGCCCATTGTAAAAAAGAAATAATAATAATTGCACACTACTGTTTTAACTTCTATAAGGATAATTTCAAGTAGTAAGAAGTGACCTTAAAATCTTGAAATTTAGAAAATGGTAATTTGTAGCTACAATGCAGCTCTAATTTAGTTCTCCACTGAAGCTAAAAAAAACATTTCAATTATGGACTGCAAAAGTTAAAATGTAACCAGTCTTATTAAAATTTGTAAGAATTTTGTTTCATTTGTGTTAGTTTTACAGTGGAGTCGGAGCATGAGAGAGATGAGTGGATCGAGGCTGTTCAGGAGTCCATCGTAGAGACGTTGTGCAATTATGAGGTGCTGGAGAAAGTTTGGTTCAACAAGTCCAACAGGAAGTGTGCCGATTGTCAGGCACCTGAGCCTGAATGGGCCTCCATTAACCTCTGTGTGGTCATCTGCAAGAACTGTGCTGGTAAGAAACTAACATGAACACTAACAACTGACAAATACAAACACACTGTACAGTTTGCTGTCAACACGCACTGTGCTCGTGAGTCTGTGGGTTTAAAAAATAATAAAAATTTTATATACATATATATATATATATATATATATATATATATATATATATATATATATATATATATATATATATATATATATATATATATATATATATATATATATATAGTTGAAGTCAGAATTATTATCCCCCCTTTAATTTTTTTTTTTGCTTTTTAAATATTTCTTAAATGATGTTTAACAGAGTAAGGGGATTTTCTGGTGGGCGGCGTGCGTTGGCTAGAGGCTGCAGGCCGAGTGCCTTAGTGTTCCACCAGTGATAATATACAGCCATATCGCAATGCTATGATTGTGATATTGCGCTTATCCAACAGTTAGATGGCATAATCGTGTATATATAAAAAAAATCAAACACTGAGAGTCTACAAATACTTTTGTATGAGGAACTTCTTCCACCATTCATTCACATCTGCAGTTGACGTCAGAACAGCAGAAACCGTTGATGATTCCCACACGTCACTTTACAGCTAGTATTTTAATGATTCTCTAGTGTAATGTCTAAAGTAATGAAAAAACATTGTGTGATTGTGATTGTGTTTATTGATCTGCTGTCACTCTATGTGGGCGGAGTAATACAGAAAGGTGAAGAGACTGCACAAATGCTGTCATTGCAGAATATGACATGGCTGTCAGCCAATCAGATTCGAGAACCACATAGAACTGTTGTATAAATATATACATTTGACCATTTAATAAATGCAATGTGATTGCGGCCCGTCGGGGGAGACGGGAGGGGGGACTCTACAAAGTGTGAGTACACTCTAAAGCCCTGGTCACAGTACACAATTTTTTTGTCACTATGTCAGATTATGCGATATTTTTCTTTTTTGATATTGTGACTTGTCGTGGTTAGCAAATGTGCCAGACTACACGTTTTTTCACATTCAGTCTTCCTGTGACGTATACAACGAGCATAATTTCAAAGCAGTCACAAATGTTGCTGTAACAATGTTTTTTAAATCTCATTTTAAATATATATTTTTTCATTGTTTTTTAATTGTTATGTATATTTTATTGATCAGTTATCAAAAAACAAGAATAATGAATAACATTTGAGGGCATGTGTCCGCTTTAAACACTTTCCGCTTTAAACACCTTAATATTTTAGAAAAGGTAGGCTAGTTAAAGTTTGTTCAACCAATAATTGATCTTATCCACCCGTGACCCACCCATAAGTAAGCTATAAATATGCATGCAGCCTATTTTTGATTACCTGACGAGTGCATTAACAGCAGCACTTACTGATATAACTGAGAAATGATGAGCTCCTATTGCACAGTGGAAAAATTAAAGATGCTAGACTTGCTGCGACGGTGTTGTGAGGCATCGCAGACATGGTATCGGTTGTCGTGAACTATGCCACATTACACGAGAAGAAACGATTAAATCTCACGACGCCCATTTGTTGTTACATTTCCCTGCGACACCCTACGTCAATAAAATTGTGCCTAAATCGTGTAATCTGACCGGGGCTTAAGAGTCTTTCCAAACCTTTTTTTTTTCTGAAAAAAAAGTGTTGTCTTTCTGTCTGTGATCGATTTCTATTAAAAAAAATTGATTTCTGTTTATTGCTTATTTTTACTCAGACATTTTGCTCATATTTTTCTGCTTTCTCTATTTACTTAATGTAAACACACACACACACGCACACACACACACACACACATTGTAAATATACAGTATATTAAAAACACTTCATGCTTTCACCACTGCATATATTTAATCTCTTCCAAAATACATTTAACAATATATTTAATGTTTATCTATCTGGTCTCTGTTCCTCTGCTATTTTTCCCTGATATAATTGCTGGCGCTTGGAATATTCTGACCACCCTCCGACACCATGAATTAACTCATTATTTCAGCCATGCAGCCATTTAATGTTGCATTAGGTCACAATGCAGGGAGAAAATACTGGCTGAACATGTGCAATTGGCTGCTGAATAAACCGACCCTAAATGTGGAACGAAGCCTTCATGGGATCTATGGCAAAGACACTTTAATTAGCTTCGCTTCGGCTGCCGACAATTAGGCGAGCGAAAGTGCAATACTGGGAATATAACGAACGGCTAACGATTAAATGAGAGCAAATTGTCTTCAGTAGTAGACAGAGAGCGTGAGAGAGAGAGAGAGAGAGAGAGAGAGAGAGAGAGAGACAGGTGAAGGGATTTCTGCTTTCTCCATTTTTACATCTGTAATGCCATCCCTACTCATTTTTTTTTTCTTGTTTACTTATGTCTCTATTTTAACGTTATCATGTCTTATTCTCAAAACACTCTGATATCTATAAACATTGTCTGTGACATATTTGGGTTCATCTGTTTCTTTAAATGTGTAACTGCAATGCAAAGCTCTTTAAAGCCAACTCTGTGATTAAAGACAATACTCAAGTGAGGTTGCAGTTACCTTATAAATATCTAGCATGCATAATTTTCACTCACTCTTTCTTTTAATACTTTTAAATGAGGTGTATTTTTCATTTTTATGTTATTTTTCATCTTTTGATGCTTTGAATATGGTTTAAGGTACTTGTCTTGGAGGTTTTCTTAGATGGCTCTACAAAACCCTTAGCGAGTGCCCACACACACATGCTAGCATGTACATAAAGCATATTTAGTCCTGTCAGCTCTCAGGCGGCTCTAATGATCTTTGATGGCAAACTGGTACTCTAAAATGCTACTAATTATGCAGAAAAATCACACACTTCATATTCAAATATGTGTTTCTCCCTGCCATGTTTAATTCATTTGTTTTTTGCATAAACAACAACTACGACAGTGCCTGGAGTTCGGCAAAATAAATGCGTAGACCAACAAACACAATTAATTACTTATGATTCATTAGCAATTAATGGCTTTTTCGCGCCTTTCATTTGCAATTATAGCAGTGGCAGACTGGAGAAAAGAGTGCTTGGAAGGAATATGATGCAATTTATAATGAGTCTTTCTGCATGTGTGTCATGCCAGTCATTGCTTTATAGCATTTATGAAGTCATACTAGTTTCTGGGGTTAAGCAGAACAATTTTAGTTCACAAAGTTTTTGCATCTGCATTTGTGAATTTTACATACTGTAGTTTAAATGGGTCATGAAAAAATAACTTTTTTTTTTTATTCTGCTTTAATTTGTTATCTTCATTGCACAAAATCCTCACCCTTGCCTACAACACGTGTGTTGTGTTTTAATGTATAAGATAGTCTGAGCTTTTTAAAGGCATTTACATTTATGTGAATTGCATTATTATTTTAACTCTGTTGACTTTAAATGTTGAAAATTCGGCTATTTTGTTTAACAAAGTTACTTTTGTTAAAAAAGGTTGCCTTAAATGTTTAAGCTGAATCAAACTAACCTTATGAGTTCATTGAACTTGTATTATGTTAGACTGATTTAAAACAGCTTGTGTAACTGATAAATCGTAAAGTTATAACATAATTAACTTAGTTTAATAAGTCACAATGAACTAAAAACATATGCTCTCAGGACTAATTGATCATAACTTTTTACAGTTTATAGAACATAATGTATAAGGAATTAAGTCTATAAATAACAGAAAAGGTACTGGCAGTTTATTACCAGATTTTTGTACTGTAATTTACAACACCAATTATATTACTTTAAACTATAAAGTAAGTAAATTCAGTAAAGGAAACTTTCCATTAAAAGTTGTTAAAGAAAAGATAAAGGTCCCATAAATAGAACAACTAAATATAGAAAACTGTTAATTTAAAGATATTTTGTACATTTAAAACCATTTGTAAAAAAGAATGTGGCGACTGGCGAATGACCAGTTCAGGTGGACACCAACCATGACCACATGGCTAACAAATCATACGGTAGAGGACTGAATTCGAGTTGAAGAAACAAATAAAAACAAATAGATGGACAAATTGTCAAAAACAAAAGTCATGCTTTTCTCTTAATTTAATCATTTTGGAAGGATATGCACAGTTTCTGGGGATAAGCATATTTACTAAACTTAAAATTATTGTGAGAAACCAATCCAACAAAAGTGATCCAATCTAACATTTTATTTTTTCTAAACACTACTCAGAATATAAATAAAAAGTATTAGTGAGTATTATTCTGTGAAAATGATAGCACCTTATACCCTGCAAATAATAAAAAAAAAATGTTGCTTGCATTAATGCCATTTTCCTTTAGGGGTGTTTTTAAGTGTAATTTAATTTATTTGCCTGGTAGACTATACATTTTAAATGTGAGATTATGTGCGCCTATTAAGCTAATAACTATAATAAGCAGATTGTTGTTTACATGCAGAGTGAAATCTGGTCAACGTGATTGGCAAATATCTAACTATGGTGAAATGCTAATACTTTTTCTGCAGGTTGAACCCTGACTAACAAGCTATGAGTGTCCAGCTGTTGGAGCCACAAACCAGGCTCATGCAGCCCAAAATGGAATACATGCAATGTGTGCATGTACTTAAAAACGTAACAATCTGTAGTACATTTAGTTGTTTTTGAGGACAATTGGGGATTTCTGTTATCATACAGATATAATTCATCTTCTGATCAGTGATATGCAGCCTAAATTTCTGTCTCTAATTTGTTGTGTTATTTTGCATCTTGTTTGAAAATTCTAATGCTTTCACACATTTTTTTTATGTCTTGAGGTCAGTCTGTCTGATGCAGTTTTTCTACGCACGATCTGATTGGATCAAAATCACAGAGCTAAATATTATACTTACATTATAACCTAAAAAGAAAAAATCAAAGAAAAAAAATAAACATAATTTGTAGTGACTGCAGGTTGAAAGAAAATAGCAAAGTATAAGTACATATATATCACTAGACATTTACTAAAGTAAAGGTACACTTTTTTTCAGCCAATGATAATTAGGTGCAAGTGATCTACCAAAAAACACATGAATGCAATTGGTTAAGTCATTCTGGATTAAATAATAGCACATAACAGCCTTAGTCTGCTGTCCATAGCTGACATGAGAGGCACCCGGTGTGGTGTTCTGCTGCTATAGCCCATCTGCCTCAAGGTTTGATGTGTTCAGAGATGCACCTCTGTATACCTCAGTTGTAGCGAATGGTTTTTTGAGTTATTGTTCTATCAGGTGGAACCAATCTGGCCTATCTCCTCTGACCTCTGGCATCAACAAGGCATTTGCGCTCACTGAACTGCCGCTCACTGGATATTTTCTCTTTTTTTGGACCATTCTCTGTAAACCCTAGAGATGGTTGTGTGTGAAAATCCCAGTAGATCTGGAGTTTCTGAAATACTCAGACCACACATACACTACAACTAAGCTGAAGGAAAATTAACTAATCAATGAATGAATTAAATTTTCTCATACATTTTTATTCTGAAAGGGAAACTCTTACAAATGCATGCATAAGCATTAAGGTAATCTGCAAATCAGATTAATTACTATATTATTTCTGGCCAGTGACTGGGATTCTGGGACATAACAATGGCGAATCACTGTCATGACAGAAATGAGTTTTTACAAAACCAACTCTCATAGGATTACACTATATATGCACTTTACATTGCAAGTAAAAGGAAGTTCTGATGTCACAAATGGGGCAACTTTAAATTCATAGCTTGTACTGTTTTTTGCACACTATCTGACTGTCCATTTTATGACACATTAGATGTAAACAGTTCAGATTTCAACAGATTTAGTGTCTGTTTCCAGGTCAGCATCGCTTCCTGGGTCCAGGTATCTCAAAGGTCCGCAGTATGAAGCTGGACAGCAGCATATGGACCAATGAGCTCATCGAGGTACCAATCTTTCATGGCAGTTACTTCTTTTTTGCAGTGAAATATGTTTTACTCGTGTTCTGTCCTCCTTTAGCTGTTTTTAGAAGTTGGGAATAAGAATTCCAACAGCCTCTGGGTAGCAAATCTTCCCCCAGAGGATGAGCTTTGCAAGCAGTCGTCAACAGAGCAGCGGGCATCCTTTATTCGCAGGAAGTACAAGAAGAGGAAATACAAGAAAGTTCTGAATGGTCTAAACACTCAGGAGGAACTCAACAAGGTGTGTGTGAGAGAGTGTGTGTGCTAATGTTCGCCTTTTGACTGTATTATTTTTTACTCCCTCATTAAAAGGCCAATTAGGCCTGTGTGCTATACTAGTGTGTGTTTGTGTGTGTATTCATGTGTGTGTGTGTGCACATCTGTTCCTGCTCTGGCTCACCTGGTAGCCCAGGTGTAAATTAGGGTTGCTATAGTAACTGGCTCTCACCAGTTTTTAAAGCAGGTTGTCAGAATTGTGTTAAAAGATTCTGCTTTGAGTCATTTCACAGCATTAAGAGTTGCAACTACACTCAAACGGCTGTAAAGTTACAGTCAGAAAACACACTTTTTGACAAGACGTTAAATAATTTGAACAGATTATAATAAATGGGATATGAGTTAACAGGATTTCCTGCGCATAATTCATCATTATTATGCTGCATTTGTGTGACTGGTTGTGTGTGTGTGTGTTTCATTGTGCATGCGTTTGTCTCTGTGTGTGTGTGTGTGTGCGCGTGTGTGCGTGCGTGCGTGCGTGCGCTTATGCGTGCGTGCGTGCGTGTGTGTGCGTGTGTGTGTGTGTGTGTGTGTGTGTGTGTGTGTGTGTGTGTGTGTGTGTGTGTGTGTGTGTGTGTGTGAGTGTGAGATTGTTCCTACAGAGTTGTCCGCATTACTCTTTCCTAAGCCACAAGCTGCTGTTTTTTTTTTTTTTTTTTTTTTTTTTTTTTTTCTCACCGTCAGCACTAACACAGATCAAGCCTGCTTTTGTTTTCCGGAGAGAGGGGGGAAATAGAGGGAAGTAGCAGGGGGAGAGAGGATTGGAAGCGTGGATTAGGTGTGTGCGAGATGAGAGCAGCACTAGGGAGTTTTCTTCTGAAAAAGTTATATGATTGTGTTTGTGTCAGAGAGAGACAAAGAGAGTGAGAGTAGATAAAGAACATGATGCAGGTACATATAGAGGTGAGATTAGATTATAAAGGGGATGTCTGGGACAGACATAAACAAAATGTTCCAGAAAAATCCTCCCTGTCTCCAAAGTTTTTGTTTTAAGTCCTGCTGTGATATATGTCTTTAAGTTTTCATTTTAGTTTTAGCCTGATACTTTGGCTCAACCTGAAGTTTTAAGTAGCGGCCATTCTGGCAGGCAGTGGTTCAAGAGATAAACTGTTCAGGATTTAGCCTGCAATACACATACATTGTCAGGACCAGCTATAATTCAGTGGCCTAATAAGCATAATGATTGTTAAAATAGTTGTGAAGGTCAGATTTAGCCGATAGGGATATAATGTGCAGATAAGAAAGCCAAACCAAAAAATAAATAAAATAATGTGCATATGTGATTTTGGCTTTTGTATAGGAGCTTTGTAGCACTTAAGGAGGTCATCTTAATGACATCTTATATGAAAAGAAGGAATCTTAATGGTATCTCAAATGCAAAGAAAGGCAGTTTAATGGCTTCTTTTGTACGTTTGGGGTTGTAAATTTTATGTTTTTATAGAAACAAATGATGTAAGAACAAATTAAAAGTGAAAGCCAATGTATTTATTGAAGCATTAATAATATTGTTATTGTATAACTTATATACAATTAAATTACATAATGTAACAAAAATAATAGTGTATTACACGTTTATAGTATTATATAGATAGGTGTTCTTGTTACTGTGTAACTTCATTTAACTGTTTAGTAATAGTAATTATGCATATTAATTACACATACATAACTAATTACACATACAGATATTACTACTTCAAAATGTTCCTTTTGCCGCCATTCATACCGCGGCGACGGCGGCAATTGGTGCACCAGTAGCTTTTGACCGCTGGGTGGCACTTTAACCACAGATATTCAGCTTTGCCTTTTCACAATACTAAACAGACGGTTATGTATGCGTACCTTATGTGATATGATGTGTTTAATTAAAATATAATTTTGATTTAGTTTTCTTGACATGATCTTACACT